GGGCGTGAGGCCGTGAGGCCGCGAGGCCGCGAGGTCAGGGCGCGAGGTTGCCCAATCCCGGAATGCCATTGTCAGGTCTGATCTCAAACGAACGCAAACACAGGCAGATGCACATGCGCAAAGAACTGGCTGAGCTGGGCCCTTGACCCATCTGGGAAGTGATAGCCTTTGCCTGCATCATGTGCAAGCTTTTCCATGGCTTTGCAAACCGACCCTCTCTATCAGGCAAGAAATGGCAGGAAAACTAATGACTTGCAATGATGCAATTTACTCCAACGAATCCTGGGTGTGCCGTGCTTTCTGTAGCTGCCGCGCAGATCATGCAGACTAACTCGGCGGCGTCAGCTCACAGATTGTTGCATATAGCAGCAGCAGTGGCAGCAGTGCAAGCGGAGCACCTGGCTTCCAGCGAAAGCCCAAAGCCATCATGGCAACATCCTAAGAGAAGAGCTGGGAACATGTTGCTGCTGAAACGGCCAGGACTTCGAAGACATCTCTTGCTCGGCATAGTGCATATTTCTAGTGATGGTATGGTGCTGCTTTCCGCTTCAACGGATAGGCAACGGATAAGGAGCGAACCAGCAGGTGTCCAGCAGAATGCAGTCTTGCATGAAGACGCCGTCGAGGCTCGTCGACATTGCAAACAACTTCCAGACCTTCTCAATTTGACGTGGGTCACATACTGAGCCTGTCGAGGGTGTGCCTTTTTTGCCCAGCCAGGGCTGAAAATCACCTGCGAGGTCCATAGCAGATGGTTTTTGCGGTAACATTCAAAAGCTTGCGCGGCCTCTACACTCATGCCACAATACTCGTGGATCCACCTTCGAGTCCCACCATGGGCAGGAGTCAGCGGTTTTTGGCAAACTTACGGATTTCGGGAGGATCGGCCAAGGTCGAGGGCTAGAGAGGCCGTGAGCCTGAAAGTTGCAGGGAGGTTGAGAGGTTAGTTTAAAAAGCTCGATTTCGAGAGTTGATGATGCGCTTCTGAAAGCTTGCAAGACAAAATGGGTGAAAACATATGAGTCTGAGACTGGGAGGCGGAGCCTCGGGCCCTGTTTGGAAAGGGCCTCAAGGTCTACCCGACAGTCAGGAAACTACAGCTAGAAAGAACACTCGAGAACATTAAATGCATATTAAATGCTATGACGATCGTCAGCGGCTCTCGAAACAAACGCCCTAGAAAAAGTTAAATGAAGGAAATCAGATCAAACCAAACTGCAAACTAAATTTTAGCAATCCTGAATGCATGATCGCGTGGTGCAGGGTTGAGTCAGGACAATGACATTTACACCGCTTTGCTGTGATGTGAATCGTTGCAGCTTGTCGGGCTATATGTGTTTTGCAGCAGCCGCAAAACCTGAAACAGGACGCACCAAACCGGAGCCACAAAATCCTGCTCCCTGAACGAAACCCGTAGACCGAAGCACTCATTCTATCCTAACCCATGCTTCGACAGGTCGATCATTGCCGATCCCTGCGATCTGTGCCGAAGGCGTAGATGGTGCTCACGATGCTGACACACCGGAATGACTTTGGCCGTATCGGAGCTGAGTTCCGTTCCCCATACCGCGCTTACGAAGAGAACTCAATCAGGGATAATTCCAAAGCGACGTCAAGAAACTCTGGAATGTGTCGTTTTCATTCCTTGTGGCTCTGTGCCCGCCCCCCGATGGCGCAGCTTAACTGTCCCATTTCTGATCAGTTCCAAGGGTGCACGGCTGTACACAGATGCTGTTCTGATGTGGAGAAATATTGGGCACTGAGACTTGCAGAAGTGCGAATCAGATCAAGACGGATCATGTGGCATATCCTGAGGCAGAGTGTCACAGGTGAAATCTGAAACCCACCAACTCAGCTTGAGGATGAGATGGTCTTGTCAGCGCAAAAGTGATACCAGGGGCCTGAAAGGAGGGGGGTGCTGCCTTAAACACTCTGGCAGCCCCTTTAAAGTACGGGGAGCGGAGGGGGGCGGGGGGCGGGCGGGAATGCCCATATCGTATCTGAGATCTGAGGGTGGGTGGAAGGGACCCCCCAACAATAAGCACAGCCTTAACTAGTGGCCTTCCCACCATACAGAACCTGAGCTTACAATCGATAACTCCCACACAGCCCCGAAATATTAAGTTTTGACAACCAGTGTAGTGCTTTAGATCTTCTGCTGCAAACGATCCTGCTGCTCAGACTCTCAAGCCCGTCAAGCGTCGAACATGTAATCTCTCAAGCTCATGACCTCATCAACGACCCATGTAGCAACTTGGATCGAAGAATGAAGCTCTCCAGTGCACGGAGCGAAATTAAACTTTCGACATTTGCAACTTGCACATCCGGTCGGCGGATGCAAAAGTTTCGAACATATTAAGTACAGGTTTACAGGCCGAAGCTTCACATTGCAGACTCTCCGTGCTTGAAAGTTGAGAGTTGACACCCGCGTGTTCAGCATGCTAACACAACCGAACTTCTCCACTGCTTAGGCTTTCAAGCTTCATCTTCGAAGTGGCAAACTCCATCAAACTCCACAACTGAAAACTTTTCCCGAAACCCTCGAGTTCAAACACCCTCTCTCAAGATGCGACTCCAACACGCTTCCCCCAGCTGAGAACAGTGCCTTGTCCTTGGAGGCAAAAACTACGTCGAGTGAAGGCCTGGATCATTTCACAACTTAAAAACTGCTGCAACAACTTCGTTTCGTGGGCGCAGAACAGTCCGTCGGCCACCAACCGCCCGATGTCTGCAGGCTGGCCTTCTGCGCCGGCAGGGAGGGGCGAATCTTAGGCACATCCGTACTGACACAGCCTCCGCCTTGAGGATGGAAGACTGTCTGGCTAAGCCTTACAAAGACGACGCGGCTGGGTAAACAGCGACAGGACGCCCACTCTTGAAACGACGGCTCGCAATGTTCAACGCGGTCGTCCCAGGGAAATATGTTGCGGTGGATGAGAAAAATCGCGATTTGTTTGGAATCGCTGCGAAGGTCGCCCGGGTCTCCGAGGTCGGCCCGAAAGCTGTAAGCAACACCATCCTTGGGCCTTCGCAAGCCTAGAAGACATGCAGACGTCCAGTGAAGCGACGTTCATCATCCTCATGCGTAAACACTCTGCCCAGCTTAAGGCGCTTCTCTCATCATTCAACATTCCGTAGGCATGCATGCAAGTTTGCGCTCTCAATGCCTATCTGTGCCATGCCAGGTGCCTCCAACTGACGGGAAGTAAGTTTGGCCCAGTTGTAGAATGCAAACTGAATGCAAACTAGCGAGCGTGCACAAACCATTGCAATCAGGATTCAACACAGACAGAGTGCCGGGGTAACCAGCCTATTCGCTCGGGTCCTTGATGGCGGCGGCAGCAGAAACCAGCGAAGCAGAAGCAATAGTGGCCGTCGACGTTTGCATACTTTGCACTAGAATGTTAGGTGCTACTTGTCAGTCGTATCCCTTGGCTCGCGTGATCTTTGTTTGCCCCATGTTGTCCTAAGGCGAAGGCTCAACAAGCAGGGCCTGGCCGTCCTGCAGGCGAAAGCATCCGACAAGCAGTTCCCAACTGCAAGCCCCATTGGAAAAACAGCCAATGTACTTGCCGATGACAAACTCACACAAACTGCCACGCAGCGCTTCCAGTGACAGCATCTCTTTCGCCTCAACACAAGCAACAACCAGCGTCCTCGCTGAGCTTTGAGCTTATCAAGATGGCTCTGCATTGGAAGACGTAGGTAGCATCCTTGGCAGCTCTTTCAACGCTACGTCAGATGATGCATGGCGAAGCCCCAAGCGGCGCGCCATGTACAGCGGTTTGCTTGCAACCGATTGGTCGCCCGCCTTGATATCTACAAGGAACACACACGTTCACACGCACACAACAAACACAAACACCACCCCTACCCACCCACCTGCCTGCCCACCCGCCCCACCCCTCCACCTACTGTCTCTTCATCAGCACACACAAGTGGCAGTGCATGTCCGCACACTCTCTTTCCCTTTCTCTCTTGCTTGCTTGCCTGCTTTCAGCCTTAAGGAACTCACCGGTAAGAAGGACTTCGCGCTCGCTCTCGCACCGCCGAGTTAGAGTTCTGGGTTTGCTGCGCGCAGCCAAAGGGCAGCAAGCTACCTTCACGCATCGCGGCGCACCGGTCCTCCAAGTTCGGCGTGAGACTTGTTGATGTGATGGGGCGCGGCTGTGCACACTTGGTGGCCCATGCCCCTGAACGCTATATTGCAACCTCCCGTCTCGCGCCTCATCACTGCGTTTGCCCCCGAGGGAGGTGCGGTAAAGGACGGCACAACTTGCAAGCTCGACCCGGCACGCTCTGCAGCACCAGAACCATTACACTACAGCTTATGCACCACACAGCCGAGGCTTTGGCGATTGCATAGCATCAACACGTCAGGCTAAGGCACACTATGCGGACATTCATGCTGAACAGGACTCATCGCCTTTGGCCCTTCTGGTGCATTGCACCACTGTCCCATGCCTTGCGACATCGGCTCCGGTTTTATGCTAGCGGCTCCGGTGTGTTGCGACTCGTTCGGCTGTCTTGGCATCATTTCACCAGCTGGGACGCAGCAGGCCCTCACAAACATGCAAACACATGCATGCTTCCTCGCCACATTGCAAACTTGACATTCGGCACGGCTGCAAAGACTCTGGCCGAGTGCTGCTCTTGCCCGCAACCGTTCAAGGCGATGCCATCTTCCTGCAACATGCGCCCTTTCGATAGTAGCCCTCACTTGCAAACCGCTCCGAAGCATTCGCCTTGGACGGTGGCGCAAGTGCTGGCTTGGCAACACTGGCCCTTCCCTTCCCTTCCTGCTCGGCCGGCTGCACTTTGCAGCCTGCGGTGCAGTGCACCTCAGCATCACTATGCCGTGAGCACATCTGCGTTACAACAGTCTTGCCTACATGAAACTGCCTGGTACATGCCGCACACCACCCGCAAAAGCATTGTACAAAACTAGAGTATAAGGTCGCGGCAGGAAGCCCAATGCTTGCGATATATGCAACGTCCATTGCGCAGTATCACAAGCTCAAATCTTTCTATGTCTGGATCGGTTGCGTGCACCTGTGGTCATATTGCTCATCATTTGCATATCAAGCGGGTCCTTACATGTTATGTCCGTGCAGGAAAATAACTTATTCATAGCCATTTCATTGCTTACAACAGCCCTCTAGACAAGGCCAGACATCTCCGCCAGAACGACATTCGCAAATGTGCTCGGGCACGCTGCGATTCGCTCACACAAGGAAGTGTCAAGCAAAACTGCAAAGCCAGCTTCTTTTGCGAAGTGAAACGCTGCGGCTGTCACGGTCATCCAATCTGTCTTACTTCTGCTTTTTATTTTGCCGAGCACCAATTTTCTTCTCAGCCTGCAGCAGCTTGCAAACACGTTCTGTGTATCCACATCCAGCAGGTCCGGCCCGAGCCTTTGCAATCTGCTGTGGAGTGACTTTCACCTGCAATAGCAATTTCGTGTGGGGTGGACCTGCTGCATCAACTAGCAGCAAACTCTGAAAAGCTTTGGCCCGGTGCAGGTTTAAGGCATTGGCAAAATCCAAGCTGGCATTTCCTTCGACTTGCGCCTTCGCGGCAACGTTTGCCTGAAACGCTATGTTATGACACTGACGATTTTCAACCACCGAGATGGTTAGTTGGCTTCAACGATAAGCACACCGCCTCCGTCTTCTGCTCGCATTTTTTTATGAAAGTGTTGGCAGCTGCGGCCACTTGGCCGGCAGACCTCGACAAACACCGGCAACCAATCACTAAAGATACAACGTAGTGCTAGCAAGATCTACTCGCAACAGGTGGGCCGGACATGCGACGCAATTGAGACGTCACACACACACACACACACAGACACTTACACAACGACTCTCGGCGTAGCTGTGCTCGACTTAGGCTCCGGTTCGTGTGGGTTGACGACCGCGTCTCTTGGCGGCCGTCCTCTCTGCAGTTTCGCATGCGCTTTTGGGCCTGTCGCCAGCGATATATACCACGCTTTGCCTAACATGCTATCGTGCGGAAAATGGAAACACCAGCTGGTTTCAACATAATTGACACGACCTGCAGCAAGGGTAACAGCAAGTGGTATTTGTGTTGACCGTATGGGGAGTAAGGGTCGCAGCTGCTGCTGCTGCCACCACCACAACGACGACGACTACTACAACAGCAGCAACAACAACAACTGCAACCGCCACCACCAAAGCGACGACGACTGCGACTGCTGCTTTATTGCCACGGCTAGTACTTCTGCTCCCAGTACTGGTACAAATGAGCCAAGCCATAAGAATAGTACCAGCGACTGCTATCATTTTCTTCGAGCACCTTTCGTGGTGATGTCATACACTGCTTGGAAGCAAAAGCGACGGCAATGAACCACCATTTTCAGGAACATTTCGCGGAAAACGTGCCGACTTACACATTTTGAATCCTGAACAGGAAAACCTGTGCGAGAAGGACGTTTTTGCCAGTACTTTTCACTGTGCATGGCCGGGACCTTCGCGAGACGTCTCGGTGTGCTGTACGCACGACAAACTATGTCTGCTTGCAGAACTGCGTCGTAAGTGTCAGTCTAGCCAGAATCGGCTGAGAGGTGCTCGGGACAGCTTTGCAAGAATATCTTCGGACAGCCCCCCCCCATGTTAGCTGGTGTGACGTGTGACGACTGAGCGTCGTGCATGTCTTTCTTTTTCTTCTTCTTGAGCACATCCACCTTGGAGACTTTTGTCGCCTGGCCCAAAACCACAACAGGCACATCGACGGTGTGCACGCATGCACCCTCACGAGCGCAGCCGACGGATTTTTTGCATTCCACAAAACACGTCACGGTCGGCTACTTAGCTTCCTACGCCCCGGCGTCAAGCCTGGAGTGGAAGGCCAGTCGGCCCCGCCGACTTAGCCAGATCCAACATCAACGAGCATGCGCCGCCAGCTCGGCCGCTGAAACTGCCATGGCCCGCTGGACTGCGACTGACAACTGCGTCCACCGCCGCCGAAGACGATGTTGAATCTTTTCAAGTTTTCACTTGCAGCTTGCTGCGCGCCCACGGAAAGTTCGGTACACCGGAGGCTACCGGCGCGAAGCCTGCAGAGGCGTCAACAAGGCCCCTGCTCGCAGGAGGGCGCGGCGAGCAATGAACGAGGCATTTGCAGCTCGCGCTCATGATCGCATAGGAGTGGGAGCTCCAACAGCGAGACGGCGAAATCGGCGAATGCGTGCTGCTGCAAACAAACTGGACCACCTCGCAACAGTCTCGCAACCCATGCCCAGCACGCTTGCCAGGTGCCCTTTCTGGCTGCGTCGCGTGTCGCAGCATACTGCGCGCTAAAGTCAGCAAGGAAGGTCCGGATCGCGTGGTCGGCGCGACGTGCTGTGCAAAAACTTGGGAGAAGCCACGCGCACTGCCGGTAAGGCACATGATAAAAACAAGCCATGACACCATATGACACCTACCAACATGGTTTCTCTTGAAAGATCACCATTGGAGATTGGAGATGTTCATATTGTTCATGCTTTTGTGACTAATAGGAGAATCGCACAAAATGGGCTGGGCTAGATGGGATTTGGCGGATGAAGCCCGGCTGACCCGTCTGTTTTTATTCGTGGGAGATCATGGTGTGGCACCAGCTGACATTTCATTTGGTCGTGCTAGCAGCACCCTGGTGGCGCCTGCAAGGGTTCAAAAACGAACTGCCCAACGAAAGAGGTTTTAGGAGGGGGGGCACGAACCACGCAAAGAAACAACAAATAGGAACCACGCTTCGGTTTCAAAGGAACCGCGACAAGAATTTAAGAATCTCTTCAAGTAACACTGTCGTGGAACAGTCGTGGGAAGCCTATAGGCCTCCATGGGCATCTGCGGGCCCATGTTCGTTGTGCTTAACAACCCGCTTCAGCTCGGAGGCTCAGGAGTCATATGATAACGTCCAGATCAGAGCCCATCCGTTTCCGCAGAGCAACCATGGGCCAACCATGATTACGTCCAGATCAGAGCCCATCCGTTCCCACAGAGCATCCATGGGCCAACCATGATAACGTTCAGATCAAAGTCCATCCATTCCCGCAGAGCAGCCATGGGCCGATCATGATTGCGTCCAGACCAGAGTTCATCCATTCCCACAAAGCTTCCATGGGCCAACCATGATTACGTCCAGATCAAATTCCATCCATTCCCACAGAGCATCCATGGGCCAACCATGATAACGTTCAGATCACAGTCCATCCATTCCCTCAAGCAACCATGGGCCGACCATGATTGCGTCCAGACCGGAAAGTGCATCCATTCCCACAGAGCATCCATGGGCCAACCATGATGTTGAGATCACAGTCCATCCATTCCCGCGCAGCATGGGCCACAACCACGATAACGTCCCCAGATCAAACTCCATCCATTCCCACAGAGCATCCATGGGTCAACCATGATAACGTCCTGATCAGACCATCTGTTCCCGCAGAGCATCCATGTGCCAACCATGATTACGTCCAGATCAAACTGCATCCATTCGCACAGAGCATCCATTTGCCAACCATGATAACGTCCAGATCAAACTACATCCATTCGCACAGAGCACCCAATGGGCCAACCATGATAACGTCCAGATCAGACCAGCAATCGACGTCCGAAGTCGGTCCACCAATCCGTGCGTCGTTTGGTTAGAGGGACTCTCGGGGGAAAGGGCAAACAAGGTCCGATTTCGATCCAAATTCCGAAATTGAACCGCAAATCGTGCGTCGTTTGGTTTGGGGGACGGATAGGGCAAACGACGTCCGATTTCGCCCCGAACTACGGAATTGAGACCCAAATCGTGCATCGTTTGCTTTTGGGGGGGTCAGGACAGGGGTTTCGGTCCATGGCATTCGGTCCATGGCACACACTCCCCATTTGGCAAATTGGACTTCTTCCCCTCCATAGTGGCAAGCTGGAGCACAGGGGACTGTGATGGAGGAGATCGCACAAGCCGCTACTTTTGGGGTTCCGAAATTGCCAGAAAGTGCAAACGACGTCCGATTTCGGTCCAAATTTCGAAATTGAACCCCAAATCGTGGGTTTGCTTTTGGGGTTCCGAAATTACCAGAAAGTTGCCTTCTTGGACCACGTGGCCTTCTCGGCCTTCTCGGACCACTTGGCCCAACTCGCCTTCTCGGCCCTCCATAGGGGCCTACTCGCTTTCTTGGCCCCCCATAGGGGCCTGCTTCATTGACGGATTCGGGCCAAAAAAGCACTGCGGTGCGGCACAGCAGAACTCACACGGAAGCAAAAGCACTCAGTCACTCACGCAAAACTCAGTCACTCACTGATTAGATACCTGTCATGGTTCGCAAACTTCTGTTGTAGTTCCTTAACAGCAGAGTGTGGTTCGCACTCCTGCTGTTTTAGCCACGGCCGCAGCAAATCAGTCTGCCTGACGGACCACGGTCTACGCGTCAATCCCGTGCCAGGGCCGCAACGGCTCGCGGCTCTGGCCGGTGGGGGCTTCGTGGTGGAGCATCGTGTCCAGCGCGGGCCGTGACAGGTTTCAGGTTGCAGTGGGTGCACCCAAGGGCCCCAATGCCGTGCTGGCAACGGCCTGCTGCACCGCCACGGACAGCATGCCCACCAGCGCCTCGCCCAACCGGCAGACGCCGCTGCGCGGAGTCCGGCCCGGTGAGGATGTCAGGTTTCAACGAGGATGGATAATATTTGGCGGTGGGTTTATCTTACATCACCCGGTGGGCCTATGCAACACCATGCAGCACCCCGTGTAGACACTGCGTCAAAGCACATATACATCAACAACATTTTTTTCTCGGCAAGCGTACCAGCGCTACGGTGTTCCCCCCCGCTTACCGGAGCGGGAGGCGACTCGGCCCGCCCAGCTCCGCAAGCGCGAGGACGTGCTCGAGGGCAGGCTGCTGGTCTGTAGCACTGCGGGGGAACAACCAGGCGGCGCCCCGCGCCGTGCCCCCGACCGCGTGCTGCACCGCGATCGATAGCATGCCGCACCACCGTCGTGCCCAGGCACTCGAGGC